GAAATCCATTCCATAGTTTGAAGCCAACATGCATCATGGATCGGAAATCTCTGCAGGTTGGATCGGAAAATGGATTGGTCACATCGTCACCGATACCCGATCCAGAAGTTTTTCAGATATCGGTACCGATACTGATATTGATATCGGATTTCTAGTTTCTAGTGTCATTTATACAAGTAACAAGGTCAAACAGGTGCAATTAATACAACTAATGAGTGCAGAAGAGAAGGGCTTCTTAAAAAAACAACTAACAGGTCTGCGGGAGCTAGAATTATTGCTGGTTGGTAGGTGATTAAAACACTTATTTAAAGCGATAAAATGCAAATTAATTATTTTAAAGTCATGCAATGGGATTTCCTGGATTTTTTCCTTAAATTCTGTCTCTTACAGTTGAAGTGTACTTACGATAAAAACTACAGACCTCGCCATTCTTTGTAGGTGGGAAAACGTGCTAAATCTGTATCAAATACTTATTTTTCCCACTGTGCATAGTTACAGTGCTAATATGACAATTTTATTCTCAAATGGCCAATATAATGTACAGCAACAATGTATATGTATATATACTATATACCATGTAAGGTTAACTGTAACAAAGGCACATTGAAATAACTTCCAAACTTAACAACTTGAACCTGACAAAATAGAGGGGAAGGAAAACTGTACAGCTACTGTGTTTGAAAATGTACATAGTTCACTCTATGAGTAACTTCTGCAGCAACTGACTGTTTTCTGCTACACCATCTATGATCTTATCACTCTCCAGAATCTTTAGTACATATGGCTGAGTAGCCATGAGCATGAACATCCCGAGGTGCTGTGGAAAGAGAGCTTCTAAACAAACAACTGTGGCAAAGCTTCTTTAGCAAGCTACATGTGTTACAGACAGGGTGAGCATAAACTTGTATGCAAGTGCTATTATGCTGTTCTGAGGATGTATGAGTTATTGAGTAAAGATTATTATTTTTATTCTTTTTATTGGGCGGCTGTGGCTGTGTGGTTAGAGCAGTCGTCCTCCAATGGGAGAGTTGGGGTTCGATTCCACCAGCAGTCACATGCTGAAGTGTCCCTGGGCAAGACACTGAACCCCTCATAGCCTATCATGTGTGTCAGTGTCATCAGTGTATGAATGTGATCTAAAGCATTGATTAATCTCATTAGAATGATTTGTTCAATTAGCTTTGTAGAGATCTAGTAGAGTGCTGTATGAATGGGTAAATGAGGACACAGATTGTAGTGTAAAGTGCTTTGAGTATCTTGAAATAAGATAGAAAGGCGTTATAGTCCATTTACCATTTACCATTCTAACCGCTGTGCTTTGCCTTTGTTCTTGTGGATGCTCTTCTCATTTACCCATGTCAGAATCTGAGCTTTGAGCTCGCTAGCTGTCTATTGCCACACCTTGGTCATCATCAGCCACAGTCTATGAAATAAATTAGTATTGCTAATGTGTGAAGTGCTGTGTAAATAACAAAAACATTTAGAAGTTAGAAATACCACACAATGCTAACTTTGTTTATGCTGTTGCTAGCAGTGGTATTTGACCTCTTACCATTGGGGCAGCTGTGGCTGAGTTGTTAGAGTGGTCATCCTCCAATGGGAGATTTGGGGGTTTGATTCCACCAGCAGTAACATGTTGAAGTGTCCCTGGGCAAGACAGTAAATAACCCTCATTGCCTCTGCTGTGTATCCCATTGGTGTATGAATGCAATCTAAAGCTCTGATTAGTCTCTACAGATTCAGATTATCTTTGTAGAGATGTAGTAGCAGAAACCAGGAAGGACAGATGGTGGTGGATTTTGCCAAGATAATGGAAATGACTGTAGTCAAAACTTGTTTCCAAAAGAGGGAGGAACATAGAGTGACCTATAAAAGTGGAGGAAGGAGTACACTGCTAGACTACATCTTGTGTAGAAGAGGAAACCTGAGGGAGATTGCGGACTGTAACGTTGTAGCAGGGGAGAGTGTGGCCAGATAGCATGGATCAATCAATCAATAAACTTTATTTCTATAGCACAATTTAAAAACATCAGGGGTAGCCAAAGTGCTGTACAATAAGACAAAATAGATGAAGACAATAAGAAAATAAACATACAAAACATACACTTACCAGGTTCACAGCAGGTGTGTTTTAAGATGCCATAAAAGACAAGATCACAGTGTATTAAAAGCCAAAATAAATAAAAGGGTGTTTTTAAAAGAGATTTAAAAACAGGGAGAGAGAAGGCCTGTCTGACACTCAAGGGTTAGAAAGTATTGCATGAGGAAATCTGGAGTGGCAGAGAAGTATGTTAGACTGGTACAAGACATGTATGAGGACAGCAGGACAGTGGTGGGATGTGCTGTAGGAGTGACAGATAGCTTCAAGGTGGAGGTGGGAGTGCATCAAGTATTGGCTTTGAGCCCCTTCTTGTTTGCTCTGGTGATGGACCGACTAACAGATGAGGTCAGACAGGAATCCCCATGGACTATGATGTTTGCAGATTACATTGTGATCTGTGGTGAGAACAGGGAACAGGAGGAAGAGAACTTGGAGAGGTGGAGGTATGCATTTGAAAGAAGAGGAATGACAGTCAGCCGTAGTAAGACAGAGTACATGTGTGTGAATGAGAGGGAGGCTGTTGGAACAGTGAGGTTACAAGGAGCAGAGGTCACAAAGGTGCAGGACTTCAAGTACTTGGGGTCCACTGTCCAGGAAAATGGGGAGTGTAGCAAAGAGGTGAAAAAGGAAGTCCAGGCAGGATGGAGTGAATGGAGAAAAGTTTCAGGAGTGATTTGTGACAAAAGGGTGTCAGCAAAGGGCAAAGGAAAAGTTTACAAGTCAATGGTGAGACCAGCTATGTTGTATGGTCTGGAGACAGAGACATGGACAAAAAGTCAGGACAAAGAACTGGAAGTGGCAGAAATGAAGATGTTGAAGTTCTCCTTAGGAGTGACAAGGATGGATAATATTAGGAATGAGCTCATCAGAGGTACAGCACATGTTGAACAACTGGGAGATAAAGTGAGGGAGGCCAGACTGAGATGGTTTGGACATGTCCAAAGAAAGAACAGTGGGTATATTGGTAGAAGGATGTTAGAAATGCAGATGCCAGGAAAAAAGACAGAGGAAGGCCAGAGAGAAGACATATGGATGCAGTTAGAGAGAACATGGAGGTAGTTGGAGTGAGGACAGAAAATGCAGAGGACAGAGTGAGATGGAGGAGGATGACTCGCAGTGGAGACCCTGAAGAGGGAAAACCTGGAAGAAGAAGAAAAAGACGTAGTAGAGTTCTGTATGAATGTGTGTGTGGAGGTAAATGAGGGCACAGATTGTGTTGTAATGATCTTTAAGTATCTTGATTAGATAGAAAGGAGCTATATATGTGCAGTCCATTTACCATTTACCCGACCCAGAACTAGAGGAAGAACCACCAAATAAGTCAGATTTTTTTTTAATTTGTTGCTGCTCTTTGCTTGAGGACTTTCTTTTCTATCTCTGAACTTTTCAGCCCCACCTTTACATGTCTTAGTTGGACTTTGCTGCTCCATCTTCTCAACTAATGCAGACTTATTTAATGTTAGTGTCTGAAAGGTAATGTTCCGCGGAGGAATGACATTACAAGTTAGAGCCACAGAACTGTGCATATCTGTTAGGGTTAGGTTTTGTTGTCCACTAACCGACTGGGGAAATCCCCAGTAGTCTCATATGCCAGTCCACCCCTGGCTGAAACTGACAGCTCCTAATATTTACAGTTCCATTCAAGATTGGAGTGGCTAATTGGGAGGACCGGGACATTTCCCAGTGGGCCGGTCTGATGTATTGGCCACATGGTCGGTGCTCAGTCATTGCCCTAGATTTATCACCGCTACTGCTGCACCTTGGCCAACCCCACATCCACAAAGAGCCAGCTCTTCTTCCACCCAGGACCGACCCCACCTCCACCCAGGCTGGCTCCGCCTCCACTGGCAGCTCTCACTGTATTTGTTTTTTTTGTTTTTTTTCAGACGCACCCTGACATAACGTTAGTGCATTCGGTCAGTGGTGTTTGAAAGATGGAAAGTAGAAAGAGCAAGGTTGTTGTGGAGAAGATTAGATTTAAAAATAGGAAAGCTCTGGAAACAGATGCAGCTTTTATAATTACATGATTTTAATAATAATAAGTTGTGATCTAAAGTGGGCTAGTCTGAGACATAAAACTCCAAGGCTGAAAATGAGTCCACTCAGGCCCTGGCTCCATTCCTTCCAGCTGCTTCAGCTGTGTAAAGGAGGATCTGCTAACATGTCCACTTACCAAAAGTTGGCCTCCATAGAGATACACTAGGCCCAACTTGGTGTGGGTCAGGGACAGGGTCTAGTCCGGTCCAATCCTGTGACCAGCAGGGGCAGGTTGACCTGGGACTGACCTCTGATGATTCCTGTTCTCATAAGCAGTTTCTGTCAGTGATCAGCTCCTGCTGATAAATGTGATCAGATGAAGATTCATCATCTCTCCATCAGATGTTTGTGACTCATAAGTGTGGTCTTCTATAAAAGTCGGAGCGTTTTTCAAGTTTCTGCCAGACCTCTTAGCAGTTTCAGCCAAAAGTTTATATTTTTTCTGAAGTCAAATGTGTCCAACTTTGTACCATGAACGTCATTTTCGGTTACAATAGCACAAGTGAAACTTTGCACTGAAGCCATGCTATTTATACAAACATCTGGCTTACTCCTGATATACTCTTGAGAGATTATCTATGTAAATATTTTGCATGACAACATGAGTGAAGAGTACTATTCCAGGTTATAAAGACAAGAAAAAAAAACACTGTCTGCTTATCATCACCTTTATTTTAAACCCAGCCTTTCTATAGAACAAAAAAATGTTTGGTTGTTTGTGTGGAGTTGTATTTCTACTGTATACCATGAGTTCATCTTGTTTGTTTTTTCTATGAGTAACCTTTGTGGTCCCTTTTAAGTGTTTTATTTTTTCCTCCTGTTTGTTTTTCAACGCTGCTTAATTTATGTGTTTGTACTGTAGGAGTTATATCTGCAGTCCAGTCCATCACTACCAGAGGTAAACATTAGCTGTTTGTTAGTGAGGTTATATGCTGATGACATGCCAGAAAACATACATGATCATGTTTTCATTGTTTGCATTCTTAAAACTAAGCGCTGCATTTTGTCATCCATGTTTGAGCTTATCAATTCATTAAGAATTGTCCATCTACTGTGTCTCTTTGAGAGAAATTTATGCAGTATGTCTGTTTAGTTTGTAAGGTGAGTTCAAATATTACTTCTGCAGAATGGTACCAAAAAGCTGTTATCATCTTTTTTTAATCTCTGAAGCCTGTATAGAGAATATAACCTCTGCCACTCTAAAGGGATAATCTTGTCATCTTTGAAGTGATATTCTGTCATATCATTATCTTTAGTTAGTACCTTATCAATGATATCAGAGCACAGAATATGGAGGACAGTTGCCAAATATCTAAGCCAAGCTAATGGCTAGCCAAATGAGATATAGTTGTTTTTCAGGCTCGTAATGCAGACCCACAGAAATAGACTATCCTGATGTTGCGTCAGTCCACTGGGAGTTGAGACGTATGGATTCATCAGACTGATACATTTAGTAGACTCAACATTACAAGATATACTGTAATTGCCAGTCTATGGAACACACCCAAATATAAGTAGCACATACTAAAAAATAAAATTATATTTAAAAAAATTTATATAAATAAGCTGCTCCTTTATATAAGCTGTGGATGTTCACATTTTAACATGAGTGGCAGCACACAGCTGCTGAGAGAGATATGCAACTCTTGTTGTAGATCAAGAATCAACCAGCAGATGGTGTTTTAATAAACTTTATATAACTGTTCAACACACACACAGTGAATCCCACAGGTCTTCATGACAACTACCTCCCTCACTCAGGGTTACTGTACTGAGTGGACTAAAACAAACAACACATAATGAACACTAACAAGAACAGACTAATCACTAAAAGAACAATGCTAAATAGCTAACTGAAATGATCAGATTAGAGTCTTTGTTTGCCTAACTTCCAGAAGAGCTGCTTTGGTCAGCTGCATGAAGGTTTTAATCAAAGGGGAAAAGACTGGGTTTTTTAATGCTCTGCTGTAGATCCAACAAAGTTAAGACAGGTCCTCTGAACATTTTTTTTTGTTTGTTTGTTTGTTTGTTGTTGAAACGTTAAGGTTGGGATTTGGGTTCAACTTTGTTGAAACGTTTCCACAAAAAGAAACCATCCAGAGGACCTGACTTAACTTTGTTGGATTTTTTTTACCTGGATTATTGAGCATGAATCTTGATGCTCTGTTGGAGATTATGGATAGCTAAAATCTGAGAGTTTCTCTGTTTAAAGTTGCTTTATTTTTTAAATGGCTTCCTTCATCCCCATCTCAAATAATTTGTCTTCTCTGTCTAAAATACAGTGCCTTGTGAATGTATTTGGCCCCCTTGAACTTTTCAACCTTTTGCCACATTTCAGGCTTCAAACATAAAGATATAAAATTTTTATTTTTTGCAAAGAATCAACAACAAGTGGGACACAATAGTGAAGTGAAATGAAATTTATTGGATGTGTCAAACTTTTTTAACAAAAAAAAAAACTGAAAAGTGGGGCGTGCAATATTATTTGGCCCCTTTACTTTCAGTGCAGCAAACTCACTCCAGAAGTTCAGTGAGGATCTATGAATGATCCAATGTTGTCCCAAATGATTGATGATGATAAATAGAATCCACCTGTGTGTAATCAAATCTCCGTATAAATGCACCTGCTCTGTGATAGTCTCAGGGTTCTGTTCAAAGCGCAGAGAGCATCATGAAGACCAAGGAACACACCAGACAGGTCTGAGATACTGTTGTGGAGAAGTTTAAAGCCGGATTTGGATACTAAAAGATTCCCCAAACTTTAAACTTCCCAAGGAGCACTTTGCAAGCAATCATATCGAAATGGAAGGAGTATCAGACCACTGCAAATCTACCAAGACCCGGCCATCCCTCTAAACTTTCATCTCGAACAAGGAGAAGACTGAACAGAGATGCAGCCAAGAGGCCCATGATCATGCTGGATGAACTGCAGAGATCTACAGCTGAGGTGGGAGAGTCTGTCCATAGGACAACAAACAGTCGTACACTGCACAAATCGGGCCTTTATGGAAGAGTGGCAAGAAGAAAGCCATTTCTCAAAGATATCCATAAAAAGTGTTGTTTAAAGTTTGCCACAAGCCACCTGGGAGACACACCAAACATGTGGAAGAAGGTGCTCTGGTCAGATGAAACCAAAATCAAACTGTTTGGCCACAATGCAAAATGATATGTTTGGTGTAAAAGCAACACAGCTCATCACCCTGAACACACCATCCCCACTGTCAAACATGGTGGTGGCAGCATCATGGTTTGGGCCTGCTTTTCGTCAGCTGTTTGGGTCTGCAAGAGACCTGAGACTGGACGGAGATTTATCTTCCACCAAGACAATGATCCAAAACATAAAGCCAAATCTGCAATGGAATGGTTCACAAATAAACGTATCCAGGTGTTGGAATGGCCAAGTCAAAGTCCAGACCTGAATCCAATCGAGAATCTGTGGAAAGAGCTAAAGACTGCTGTTCACAAACGCTCTCCATCCAACCTCACTGAGCTCGAGCTGTTTTGCAAGGAAGAATGGGCAAGAATTTCAGTCTCTCATGTGCAAAACTGATAGAGACATACCCCAAGAGACTTGCAGCTGTAATTGCAGCTGTAATTGCAGCAAAAGGCGGCGCTACAAAGTATTAACGTAAGGGGGCCGAATAATATTGCACGCCCCACTTTTCAGTTTTTTATTTGTTAAAGTTTGACACATCCAATAAAGTTCATTCCACATCACGATTGTGTCCCACTTGTTGTTGATTCTTCACAAAAAATTAAAATTTTATATCTTTATGTTTGAAGCCTGAAATGTGGCAAAAGTTGAAAAGTTCATGGGGACCGAATACTTTCGCAAGGCACTGTATGAACATTTTGGTCCTCAAAAGAGTGTCCCTTATCCTTGAGATGTAGGTGGATGCTGAGTCTTGTCTTGAAGAGCTGGCTTTGCTGTGTTGAGCCATGCCATCTGTGGAGAGGTTGCTTAGTTTCTCTAAAGTAGAGGTCATAAAGTTGTTGTTGAGTGAAAGACATTAAAAGTTGCATGCATTCAGCCATTTTAAAGTACGGTATTACACACACAAGTTTTAAAAGCATGGTAATGGAGCCATGCTTGACTTTTGTTCATGATGACAGCATTCTCTGATAAATGGATTTATTTTGACCCTATCAAAAGCCTCATTGCACCTTGATCATTACGTGAATCATTCAGCATGTAAGGCCTATGTGTCATGAAAGAGTCAAACTAATTTATCTGCTTCACAGACTCATAAAGGAAGTTGTCACTGTACTCACTGAAACAGCTTTCTGTCTACATCTTGCAAATGTGGCAAAGCTTTGACTCTAGCAAGTATACAATTAAAAAGGATTGTTTTACTCTTGTCTCCCTGCGGTCTGAATTTGATCATTTGTCCTGTTTTCCTTTCTCTCACCAGTAAAGAGCAGCAGAGGCCCATGAAAACTATGTCAATGTGGGAGCAGAAAGCCAGCCAGCTGAGGAGGCAAAACCAAGCAAGCTGTGAGGCTCTTTATGAGCCAGACCAATCTGCCTTCCTGCCCTCAGCCCTCCATATCCACCCTGAGATGAAGACCCACCTCGATCGGCCTCTGGTTATTGCGCATTGTGATCTACTGGGCAGCCATCAGCATCACTGTCACAAGCCCTGTACATCAGAGGAGGCTGAGACGGCTGCTGACCCACCTCTCTCTTCTCATCATCCTCACAGTCACTATCATCACCGAGACAAAGACTGGACTGAAGTAAACAATGAGACAAACAACAACTTTCATGGTAGTAAAGACATGAGGCACCATGTTCATCACAACCGCTCCAAAGACCACGACTCCAATCGAGACAAAGAGGAAAAAAGTGTGATGTCCCACAGCAAAGAAGGGGGCAGGAGACATCATTGTCATCGGCACCATCATCAGAGTTCAGTAAATGACAGTGCAGGTGTGGGGGCCACAAGTGAGAAGGAACACCGCCGTAATCACTCCCATCGACATTCCAGGGGGGGCAATGGAACAGTGAGTAGTGGAGGAATAGGAGAGCAAAGATCCTGTCCCAAAGATGGATCTAACAGTGACAGAAGTACCAGAGGAGACAGCAGGGCCAATGGACAGAGGAGGAGGCATCGCACTCATGGCTCCAGGTGCCAGTCTAAAGATGAAGGAGAGGAATCCGATGATAGAGAGAAAATACATACGAACAGGTAAAAATTTATGGTGGTTAACAAAGTTCATGCACAAACATCCAGGTACCAAATCCAATGATTTTCAGTCGAGTCATCTGGACAATGGTGGTTATTTGCTCTCTCAACGCTGTAGCACCTCTAAAAGTCAAATGTGGATTCTGGACCAGGTTCAAGTGGACCACACTGTTCCATGTCAGTGTTAGATTCATAAAGTCAAAAGGGCTAGATGACCCCCTCAAACACAGTCTGAACAGTTAGTGCTCATTTTTGTGTCAGATTATTTTTATTCTGGCAGAGCCACAAACAGCTAAAGGTCATTTTTCATAACTCCTCCATGTTTTCACTTTACAACATTTGATCACTTCCAGTAACAAGACCAAACCATGTAGTGTTTATCAAGGCTAATCTTAGATATTACAAATAGTTAGACACTAAAAGACACCCCTCCTCCTCACCTTTTAGTTGCTTCAGTCCAACTTTGCTACACCAGAAGCCACTATCACTGAGAGCACCTAGCTGTACAGACAAATAAAAAAGTTTCTTAACTCAGTCTTCTAAATTGTTAACAGTGCTGTTTTTCTTTTTGATCATGTGTCAGAGGAAAATAGTAAAAAAAATTAAGTGTTTATCTACAAGTCTGTAAGAACCTGGATGCTGCTCTCATATTGTGTTGTACCAGGAGCATCTTGCATGTGCAGACCCAACATGAACACTGTGAGTGAACAAAGATCCAGGTCAAAATATTTTCTACCATTTGTTTCACTCAACTTCCTGCTTCCTTCCAGTGATCTTGTGAAGAAGTTTACGAGTTATGTAACTACATTGTTTCTTGCCTCTTCAGTCCTTGATTTATTTATTTTTCAAAATTTGCACTTAGTTTTGTGCCCGCTCTTTTTTGTCCACATTACCACGTATCATGACAGAAAAATCCGAGGACAACAGAGAAAGCAGGCTTGCCAGCCTCAGCCTATTTCTAGCCTGGACCATTAAAAATAGTTGATTCCCAGTTAAAATGTTTCCTGGAGGATCATTCTATTTTATAGGTGTTCTAATCAGGCTACAAATCTCAAAAATAGTTGATTCCCAGTTAAAATGTTTCCTGGAGGATCATTCTATTTTATAGGTGTTCTAATCAGGCTACAAATGTCACGGCACTGAAACTGCTCTATTGAAGGGTTTCTATGACATTTTCCTAGCCACAGATGCTGATGATTCTGTGCTTCTTGTCCTATTGGACCTTACATCTGCTTTCAACACCATCGACCATGATATCCTCGTTTCTAGGCTGGAGCAGTGGGTGGGCATCACAGGGTCAGCCCTCAGATGGTCTAGATCCTACCTCTCTGACAGAACCATTTGTGTCAACATCAAATATTTTATTTCAACATTGGCAGCTCTTCAGTGGGGAGTACCACAGGGGTCCAGTCTTGGTCCTCTTCTCTTTTCTTTATACCTGCTGCCACTAGGAGCTATTTTTCATAAACACAACAAAGCTTTTCATTTCTACGCCGATGACTGTCATTTACTTCCCTCTGAAACAGACTGGTGCACATTCTATCCAATCTCTTCTTGACTGCCTGGCTGACATCAGGTACAGGATGGCTTTAAATTTCTTAAACTTTAATGAGAAGAAGACACAAGTCATGTTGTTTCCACCTAATGGCACAATGAATAACGTTGGTTACCACAGATTCTATGAGTATAGGCACAGCCCTTTAAGGCTATCGCTAGTAGGTTAAAGGCGAAGCAGGATGTGGTCTATGCCTCACTAGGTCCATTCAGACACAAACATGAAGCACCTGCTTGCACCAAAAAAAACATTTCATCACTCAGCCTTCTGTGTGCGTAATTACGCGCTGCGTAATTATGCGCTCCATGCACAGGAGCGTCCCAGAGAGAAGGATCTCTGATGGGAAAAAGAAGGCTGAAAAAGCAGACCTGCTGCTGTGAATAGGAACAACAGAGGTTATGAATTGTAACAGTGTACCAATGAACAGAGCAGGCCAACTGTTCTTCAGGATGAACTGATTAATAACAATAAAAACAGCAGTCATGAACTTGTGACTGACAATAAATGTCTCACACTGTGACTGCATGCAGGCAGGTGTGAGCTTAAAACGAGGCTCCATGAAACAAATAAAAATCATTCTGTCAGAACCCTGAGAACAGAATGAGTCATGGAAAAAGTAGAAACATCACGTAGGTCAAAACTGTCACGCTCAGCGGCCCCCGCTGCCCCCCCATCTGCCTAAGCCTCT